TGCTCTAGCAACCCCCTGGCAGAGACTTGAAGGCTGCTATTCAATCCCCTCTTAGTCTTCTCTTCTGCAAACTAAATAAGCCCAGTTCCCTCAGCCTTTCCTCACAAGTCATGTGCCTCAGCCCCCAACCCCATTTGCAATATCCTCCACTGGACTCTCCGTATTTTCCACATCCTTTCTACAATGGGGGACCCAAAACTGGTCACAGGACTCCAGATGTGGCCTCCCCAGTGCTGAATAGAGGGGAATAATCACTGCCCTCGATCTGCTGGCAATGCTCCTACCAATGCATCCCAGGATGCCCTTAGCCTGCTTGGCAACCAGGACACACTGCTGATTCGTATCCATCTTATTGTCCCCTGTCACCCCAGGTCCTTTTCTGCAGAGCTGTTGCCCAGCCAGTCACCCCCAGCCTGCCCTGGTGCATGGGATTGCTCCCTCCTCAGTGCAGTCCTTGTTGAACCTCATGAGATTTCTTTTGGTCCATTCCTACAAATTGTTGAGGCCACTCTGAATCCTAGCCCTACCCTCCAGCATATCTACTTCCAGCTTCAAGTCATCTTCAGACTTGCTGAGCGTGCAATGCACCCCATCTTCCAGATCATTAGTGAAGATATTGAACAAAACTGGCCCAGAACCGAGCCCTGGGGCGCTCCTCCTGATAGTGGCTGCCAACTAGACATTGAGACATTGACTACTACCCATTGAGCTGACAAGCCAGCCAGCTTTCTATCCAAATTACAGTCCATTCATCCAACCCGTACTTCCTTAGCTTGCTTGCGAGAATGCTGTGGGAGACGGTATCAAAAGCCTGGCTAAAGTCAAACTATACCACATCCATTGCTTTCCCTGTATCCACAAAGCCAGGCATCTCATCATACAAGTCATTCAGGTTGGTCAGGAATGACTTGCCCTTGGTGAATCCATGCTAATTGTTTCTAATCACTTTCTTCTCCTCCGAGTGCTTAGAAATTAATTCTTTGAGGACCTCCTGTAGCTGAAGTGTTTTCCATGCTCTTTTTGGATTTCCCAGGAGCTATAAAAACTGTTGATATTAGAAATAGTGGGGCGATTTGTTCCCAAACCAGTGGAACTCACTTTTCTAGCTGACCTTTGCAGAAGCAATCCTATAACCTGTTGTCTGAACCCGGTACATCCCAGGTTGTTACTGATGTGCGGCTAGCTACCATTTGATCTTTTGACTTTTCCTGAAGATACAGCTGTCTGGCCAAGCCTTCCAGGACTGAACTTGGTGCCTTTTCTAGAAGCAGGGGTAAGGGGATCAGTTGCCATTGTTCTTGTCTTGCTTTGCAAGGCTGTATTTTTGCCATGGCTCTTGAGTTTTAGCAGAGTAATTTCACACGGCGTCTACTAGTTTTGCCCTTTTGTAAGCGCTTTGCATGGACTGATATTTTCTGCTTACGCAACCAACCTCTTCCAGATGGCTCTGCCTCCTGTTCTAGAACAAAACCGTGAGAACATCAGTTCTGGCTTCATTGTGACATCGTGTGACCTGGCGAAAACCCAGGATAGGATTTCTGCAGTGACACTGAGCAATCGAAACATCGCTCGCTGTGTCCCTGCTTCCCCTCCTTGCTCTTCATGCCATAAAGGAGCTGACAGGTCGAAGCCATGGCCCTCCTCACAAAACACTTCTGGTTCACTTTTTCAGCACTTTCTGCAGAATTGTCACTGCGGTCCACCCCAGTTCATTCAGGTGAGCTCAGACTTCCCTTGACCTCGGCCAGATTCAGACACATCCTTGGAGAAAAGGTGCATCGGTACCTATTGAGCCCGGGAGTTAGGGATACCACTTCTGAATCCAAACTTTAAACCCTGGAGGCTGCAAGTAAGAAAGCAACAGTGGGGGAAAAAAAACTCTGTTCATACCAGTTCATCTGCCTTTCAGGTTGCCCCTGTGTGATACAGGAGATTGGGCAAGATGGACCTGTGGTCTGACCCAGTAAATGGCAATTCTTATGTTCCTAGTGAAACCACTGGCAGCAAGTGTGTACTAACACTTCAGGCCGTGGCTGCCATTTGCACTATTGTTGGTGATTTCCCATGGGGGCAGGATGTTCTAGGCTGTGCAAGGCTTCGTTGGTCATGCCAAACTCATCTCGGGTGTTTCCAAAAATATTTTGTAGCTCCTGTGAAAGCTCCTGATGTGCTTCAGAAGACCATGCCACCTTCCCTGGAAACTGGCCTGGGACTGCCACACATGGCTGTTGGTCACTTCCTAGGCTATCCAGGTACCTCGTGGTTCATAGTGGAGAGAACTTGCGCCCCGTAGCACCAGAGTTGGAGGCAGTGGGGGGAGCTGAGCTGAGCTGAGCTGAGCCAGGAGGCTACCAAGAAGAGAAGTGCAGCCATTGCCAACATCTAGTTTAACCCACAGCTGCTGCAGATTTGTATGCCAAGTAATGGTGCAAAGCTCTTGATTCAGTAGCAAGGCCACAGCTTAGCTTGGCTGCTGGTGGCAATCATGTAGATATACATTCCCGTGCAACAGTGCTAACGCCTACAGGGAGGGAGGGCAAGGTGATGAGGGGCAGCCAGAGCCTCAGGTCCCTCTGCCTTCATTTCGGTGACCCCCTTTATTGAGCACCCCCCCACACACCCATAACACTACTGGTATTATGTTCTAGAGATGCCTCTGTCATGCATTTGGTTCCTTGTCCAAGTCTATGCATGTAATATCATTAGGGCAGGAGCTGATGGGAAGGGCTGTTTCGATGCACAGTCCCAGCGTGTAACAGCTTGTATTCAAGGCTGTTGCTCACATCCCTGGGAAAGCTGAACATCCCCCTTCCACCCTGCTCCCAGTTCACACCAGCGCTGCTCCCAGGACTGCAGGAGCAGCAGTTGGAGAAGCGCCCTTAGCTTTCCCCAAAGTGACAGCACAGATTGAAACATGGTCCAGGGTCCAAGCATAGTGCATTCAACCTCAGAGATGCATGTGGGGGCTTTGGGGGCTTTTCTGAAAACCCTGGAAGTCACAAGATTGGGCCACAGATTGGCCAACCCAGATCTGTGCCATGTGACACTCTTTAACAACTGGGTTGGTTTTTTTTATTTTAGGACATGCAAGCAGTGACAGCCTCCAGAGTGATACCAACCTCGTTCATAGCTTACAGCCACATCCTTTGTTCAAGAGAGCAAGCAACTGGAATAAAGGTTCATGATTTTGGGGGGCTATTTTTCATAAAAATGATTAAGTTGTTTTCTTCAAATGAGCTTTCGGTGATTCTGGCACCCAGTCAATCCCAGATAAACTAGCCTTAAGAAAAGCAAGGCAGCTGTCACCTGTTGGAGGGTAAGGACTGAAAGACAGTTATGTATCTTGCTGACTTTAGCAGCTGCTTCCATTGTAGAAAAGGAAATTGGAGAGAGGATATTTAGATGATCTTGGATGTTTTGAATATTAAATGCACTGAGCCTTTTAACAAGTGATCAATATTTCAAGACCTAGCTTTGAAAGAACCCATGTGGGTCTTCATTCAGAATTACCAGCCATAATGCTGAGACCATCAGGATAGCCTGTAGAAACCTATTTACTAAAATCTGAGTGGGAGAAAAACTTGAAGAGAAGGGTTGGCTTCCACAAAAAAAAAATATATATCAACACCTGGAATTTGGTTCAATACATTACATGAACAAAAGTCACTCTGATATTCATGTATGACTGATGTGGTCCAAATAATACCCCATCTTTCCTCCCCTTCCAACAATCTTTGGGCTGTAGGGGTAGTGTTGAACTGGCTCCACTTGCCCCAGCCTCAAATAATACTTGGACAGTCTCCGGCTTTCCTAATTTATGGAAGTTGGCATCACTTCCCAATGAACTTTTTAGCAGCTGAGAATTGCAACAGGCTTGTGGCTCAGATCAGGATTTAATCCAAGTCTCATAAGCCATGGGTTTGGGCTGGCTTGAAGGAAATTCTCAGTCTAGCAAATGGGCCAGGTTTCTGGGCCCTTTGTGCTCCCCAGAAAACCCGAAAGGGCTGGAAGGGAAGAAAGTTTTGGGTGTGACATCTCTGAATCCCTTCAGCGGTTGAGCAAGGGCTGCGTATCCTAACCCATAAGTATCTACGGTCGTTACACCTGAAATTTTTCTACCAGTGCAGCTGCTCTGAACATATATTGCAATAATGGTCTTACCTGCTGCTGGGCTTCTCATAGTGCTATCATCTCCTCTAGCAGTGGAAATCTCCCTAGCAGATACAGGACCTGCAAAAAATATGTAAATGAACATATTTTTTCTGTATTTGCAATACTGTGTTACCTGTGATTTTGGGTTACCTTTTTAATGTTTGACAGGAAAAATATGCAGCAAAACTTTTTCATAGTAAAAGCCTTAGTTCTGTGCTTATGAAGTAACTAGCCCAGTGGGGTTTTGGTCCATGATTGGCTCCATAATACAAATAATAATTAACAAATATGCTAATAAAAGGTGATTGTTCATACCTATTTATAGTATGGCAAGAATTGTTCTTCCAGCCAGAGAAAAATAATTGTTCTTCTAGCCAAAGAAAGCACATTTAAAGTCTCTTCCTTCAAAACCTAATTAAGAGTATTTCAGCTGAGGTCCACATGTTCTAAGCTTTTGAAAAGCAGAATATTCAATAATTTCTGTGTGCGCACATATGAAGTTGTAGTATGGCCTTGAAATGCCAGCCAAAGAAACAAATGGTTTATACTGAGAACTGGAAGCTTTGGAATTGCCTCTTCTTATTCAAGAACATCACATTTGCAATGACAAAAAAGATGGGGAGGGGAAAAAAAGCCTTCATAAGAAAGTAGAAAGGAGAGTATCCTTCCTTTGTGCTTCATGTCCTCTCCCTTCAGTCCCTACAATTGACTCTTGAAAAGCTAAGGGATGCCATCCAGTTAGCCCCAAAAGGGAGCATGCCACTGTTGCCCACTCTCCCCATTTCATCATGGTCTTGGAGATGCTCTTAGACCTCTGCTGCTGGTGGCATGGGAAATCTAGCTTTAATGAAAATGTATCCCCAACAGTTGCAAACACAGAGGACCTATGCAAGAGCCCAAAATATTTTTCTTTTTAAAAGTTTTTGGGGGGTTTTTGAGCCAAATTTGTGATTCCTGAACATCTGGGGTTGGCAGCTCTTCCAGCATGCAGCCAATGTCACTGTTCAAGTGTTAGAAATACATGCAAATCATTCTCAAAAATAATAATGCTATAAAAGCGGGTTATATACAAGCACTGTGTTTAATTGGGGAGAGCTCAACATGACCAAATGGCCTGGCATCCCCAAGGAGTTCCTGTCTTGTTCTTTCAGTTCATGATGTCTGTCACTGAGATGTATTTTCTTTATGTGACATAGTGATCCCAAACCGGCCAGCCTTAGCCAAGATTGTTGTTCTCGGTTCAGTGTGCATCATTCTCGCTCTGCTGATTGGACTGGGCCTCTGGTGCTTCTATTTGTAAGTATTGCAAGAAGTGTTTTAGCCCAATCAACTTGGGATTAGGGCATTTGGACAAGGAGCAGGAGGCCCAAATTCAGCTGGCCGCTGTGTGGCTCACTACAACAGAGGAGCCCTGGGTCCTTGCTCCCACTGCAGCAGAAATTGCCCCCAGTCCTGTTTCTCCAGTGAATACAAGGCGCGGCGGGTGTTGATAATCCTAGCACAGTTGTAGGCCCAGTTCATAGATTGCCTCTGCTACACAGGACCAGATTTAACACTGCTCAACACCCACGGCTGTCACTATAACTTCAAACGGAGCCCAGGTCCCCGAGGTATAGCCAACGTGCCGAGCTTTTTGTAATCTAGCCACTTCTGATGCATAAAGCAGAGAGGTGCTGTTTTATAATGAGTTCACGTGCGCGGGAAACCTACTGCATTTCAACGCTTACCGTGCAAATTCTTTTCTGCTCTACTCTATTAATTACATCAGGCTCAAGAAAGACCAGGACCTTTCTGTTAATTGTAGCTCGGTAGTCTTGGTGCTATTTGTGGATTTGCACAGCAGAAATGTGTTTCTTGTTTCCTGGTAGCATCCAGATGAGGAAGATCAGTGCATTAACCTTTGGGGTTGGAGCCCTTGCTAAGAAGCTTCCATTTCTTAAACAAGCCCAAGGGGCTCAGCCTTGGAGCTGGGGTGCAGGAAGCGATGTGCGTGGAAGGGCAATTGGAAAGATCAAAAAGTTTGGCTCTGCAGGTATGGTTTTTCTTTCTTTCCTTTCAGTAACAATGCAGCCTGCCCAATTGATAGGCCTCTGTAAGATGTGGGTTTCCTAATGGTTGAAAACCAATGCTGCTCTTCTTCTGCAAGACAGACCCTTTTGACAGGGGTATGCCAGGTAAACCTTCATGGATTTAGCAATTAGAGGCTGTGTCAAGGCTGCTGAGTCCACAGGCCACATAGTAGCACAGTCATGCATCTTTGTTCCTGTGAGTTTTTATCCTCAGAAGGACAGCCACCCCATGGTACAAAAACCTGTAACAGCATCATTGTTTGCAGGGTTGACAGCTAAAAGCCGGAAGAGTTTTTTCCATATCATAGGCAGACAAGGCTCTTTGGATAAATGTGATACCTTTTCTTCATAGTTTCATAGTTTCTAGGGTCGGAAGGGACCTGAGCAGATCATTGAGTCCGACCCCCTGCCATGGCAGGAAAGAGTACTGGGGTCAGCAAGGTGTACATCTAGCCTCCTCTTTTCTTAGTATTAATTGTATAGTATTAATAAAAGATATCACATTTACCCAAAGAACCTTGTCTGCTTATGTCCTTCGACCAACACCGCTACAACCAACACTTCCCTTACACCATGGCCATCAATGCGGCATCTTTTTTTCAGTTCTTGATGGAGCAAAGCATTTAACCATGTATTTAAGCAAATGAGTGGTTTCTGAAGGTGCCAGGGTGTGTGCTAAAGGGCCATGCTGAACCATGCTCAATCTAAACTATCAGGCAGATTGGCAAGAGTTGGTATCCATGAAGGTTTGAGGGGTTTTTTTGGATTTCTGTATTCATTTTAAACTCATTTTAAGTGGTTGAGTATCTGTGGCTCCATCACGTATTGCCCTAGGCTTCAGAAGCTGGAACCGTTTGACCCCCACCCTGCTGACTTGGTGGTAAGCAGGCCACACAAGTACACATTGGCACAAAATGCCTGGCTGTCACATCCTTTTTAGTGCTCAAGCCATGTGACGGTCATCACCACCTTTAGTGCTTGCAATGCTGCAAGGAGGTTTCTCTCTAGCCTGGTTCTCCTGCTTATATTGCCACCCCTTACTGTGGGAGATGAGTGGAGATGTCCAATAGATGGAGATAGTGAACTTTCTGGCGTCTTGGGTAGTTTTCAGTTTGGGGACTAAAACTCTTGTAGGAGCAGATTTTTTGAAGTGCTGGGTGCCAGCGTCACGAGTGCCTTTGCTATGTTGGAAAGGCATCTGCCCTCAGGGGAGGATAGTGGGAAAATAAGGACATCTGTCTTAAGACTATCAGTGATTAAATTAGGAAGAGGAAAAAAGGCAAACGTCATTCCCGGAGTAGAACAGCGAGCGCGGGGGTTTATCCTAGAGCCAAGTTTTCCTCAAAAAGGCATTACCAGATCTCAATAGTGAATTTTCCTTTCTTTTCAATGGATTTCATTTGCTCATCAGGGAAAAACCAGGAAGAATTTAAAGTACAGGGCTTCGATGCTGTGCTGCAGTCTGCTATTAGGGACCCCTACCCTAGTTGGGCACCTACCCCTGGCTCTAAATATTCAGTAAGGCCCCATGTGAGCAGTCTCTTTCCCGCATCCATTACGTAGCGGTTCCCAGTCCGTGGTGCGGGTATCACCAGTGGTACGCAGACAACCCGTCAGTGGTATGCGTTAACAGATTTATTATAATTACTTTCTATGCAAAAACTTGCTGGTGGTACTTAAGGTTGTATAGTTTTAAATTGGTGGTGCACAATCTGTCAGAGTCTGGGAACCACTGCATTATGTATCATAAGAGAATTAACCCATGAAACAATTCATCTGTGTCACCAGCTTCATATCTTCCCTTCCTCCCCACTCCTTCCCTAGTTGCCCAAATGTCCGGAGCCCGGACTGACTGCTGAGCTCCTAGAAGTGGGGACAATTCAACTCCGCTCCTCTTTTCTTGCTTAATGCATTTCTTCAAATCTTAACCACTGAACTATCATATTATAGCTTTGAAACACGGAAGGAAGAAAAAGAGATCTTCAAGTGGAGAGAAAGAAGAGAGGCCACATAAGAAGAGGAAGGTAAATGTGGAAAAGAAAGAGAAACTGCCTAAAGAGAGTCAGGCAAAGGTGGAAAAGGAAAAACCACTTGAGGAAGGGAAGGAGAACGGGGAAAAGCATCCTAAAGAAAGGAAGGCAAAGGTAGAAAAGAAGCAGAAACCACGTAAGAAAAGGAAAGAAAATGGAGAAGAGCTGCCTAAAGAGAGGAAGGTAAAGGTGGAAAAGAAGAAGAAACCACTTAAGAAAAGGAAGGAAAAAGAGGAAGAGCTGGCTACAGAGCACCTGCCTAAAGAGAGGAAGGAGAAGGTGGTAAAGACAGTAAGAGTAGCAAGGAAGCAAGGAAAACGAAAGAAATTGGAAAAAATGAAGGCGGCAAGGCCCAAGCAACCCAGAAAAAGGAAATCCAGTCGGAGGAAACGGAGATGAATCACGCTGGCAGTTATGACTTTAAACTAAATGGAAAACTGTGGGGACTAATACGCAGAAGGACGGATCTTATAACCAATCTTAGTATTGCCCCATTGCATTGCAGACCAAGGCTGGCCCATGATCCAGTAACAGCACCGGGTAGGCAGCAGGTGCGAAGCCTGCATGTTTCTTCTTTCTCTTCTCCCTGGTGAATATGTTGTGCCGCTGGGTAAGGTGCAAATGCCCTAATAAACTGAGAAAGCAGAGGTAGAAATAATGATTCCTTGTATGCATTGTAATAATAACAAGTGGTACTGAGCAGGGCCCCATTGTGTGCCAATGGGCAAGCACAGGAGAGACAGAGTCTGCCCCAGAAATATAGGCAGAGAAATGCAAAACAGAGCAGAGAGGAAAGAAGGTCCAGTGGTTAGAGCAATAGCTGAGACCTTCCTTTTAAGCCTGTACTTCTCCACAAATTTCCTGAGTGACTCGGGACAAGTCACTTCCATTGCCTATGTGTACAGTCCACATGGGACACTGCAAAAAATATATATATATATTGTAGATCGTGAGGCACTCAGATCTTATGGTAATGGGAGGTCATAGCTACCATTGGTAAACTACCACTGATTAATCAGCTTGCAGGAATAGCAAGCTGATTGTCTTCTGCATGATAAGCCAGCTACCTAGCCAGGTGTTTTGCAGGCATTATGGCAGAGAAGGCTGTGAAAGAGGAAGATATAGTGACTTTCAGGGAGTTCATGCCACCTGGGTGGAAATCACAAAGGACCTTGCTAGAAAATGTCCGTAGGTGGCCAGTGAACATTGCTGGAAGGTAGAGTTGATCTGCACCTTTATAAACTAACTAAATAAGATATATACAGAGAGAGAGAGAGAGCAGTGCATCAGATGCTGTGAAAGCACTTGCAAAAAGCAGAGTATAAGGAGAGGGAAATCAGAATATACCAGGGGGAGGGGAGAGATGGGGGAAAGGAGCAGTGCTAGGAGAGAAAAGCAAAGGACAAGTAAACCCACAGAAGCAAAGGCAGGGGTCATAAAAGATAACCCAAGTAATGAGATAAAAAGCCACAGCCCCATGTTTAAACCAGACTTAGCACAGTCCAGTTTGGGGATGATTTCTTGCTCCACATTTCCCGTACGCTGCTGTCACTGGCAGAGTCAGTGAGGTTGCATGGGAAGGGGAGAAGCAGTGGTGGGTTAAACGCCAGAAAGTGAAAGGGGCTGGGAGGGGGTGCCGGTTTTAACACCAAACATCTGGGTGGCCCCGCTATCACCACCCTCGCCCCGACTACCATCCTGGAAGGCCCCTCCAAATTGGTGCCTGGATCTGATTGTGCTATTGCCTAGAATTGCAGAAGTGTAGGGATCAGGGCGACTTTAAGAGGTCATGTAGCCCAAACCCTCTGCTCAGAGTAACATCATCCCTGTCTCAGCCACCTCAGACAGATGTTTGGGGTAAGAGAAGTCTCCCCGCTATATGCTGTAAAGGAAGGTCCAAAAGCCTGTAAGAAATACAATTACTTTTAGAGTAAGTTCTTCAGCGCCCAATTTAATGTGGAGCAGTGATGCTCAATGTTTTGGCCCCAGGGCCAGACAGACTGAATTGGACCTCAAGCACCAGAATTGGGCCCTGGGGCCCTGCATCACCCCCACCTGGCCCCAGATGCCAGGATCAGGCCTTGCACCATCCTGCCTAGTGGCAGGGCCACAGGACACGGATCTGTGAGGGGCCCCACAGGGCATCAGGGGCCAGGTCCAGCCCAGGCGCTGCGGGCTGAGCACCCCTGATTTAGAGGATGGACACAGCCGGGGAAGATAAATCTGATGCCTTTCTTGGAGTAATGCTTTAGGACTTTAAATTAGATCTGACTGGTGGTGTAGGTGATCCCCCGAAGTTTCTTCTTGACCCAAGTCATTATTCTATAACAGGAAAGTGACCCCTTGGATTTTGCTCTAATGTTGAACTGCTTTACAATTGTAGGATTGCTAGGATTCGTATTTTTTTAAAAATACCGTCATTTTAACGAATAGGGTCTTTATTTTGAGCTGCGTTTCTCCGGCAGCAAAACTCATTGAAAAGTTGTTTGAACTTGCTTATTGATTGTAGGTGAAATAGCATGTAATAGCCACAAGAGGTCAGCAGTCATGCATCCCCAAACCTGCCTTTGCATCCTTCTGTTATCATGGGTCAATTCACAAGAGAAAAAGCTAATCAGAGTATATCAAATACATATATTGGGGCTGATCTGAAACTTCCGGGAACATGGCATTTCCACCTTTTGGGAAATCTTCACATTGAATTGAGAGTTTTACTCGTTTTCGTGTAAGTATTTCTGAACATTTTATGGCTCAAAGTACTTTTCAGTAACATTTCTGTGACATTTTCAAATCGGTAAGTTTATAAGGAGTCATGCCAGATACTGAAACAGAAACAATATGGAATTTTTGGCATAATTTGTTCTTCCTTTTCACTGACCTATTTATATATTGAAGAAAAGAATTATCCCTTTTGGTGAAAACAGCAATCAGCAAGTTCATGTTCAACCATTTTTCCTCCAGGACTCCCCCAAGTTCTTTTCAGTCATTTGTTCCCAGGACACGCTTTCCCGTCCAGTAAGTAACAGTTGCATTTTTGTTCCCATAATATGACTTCCCATTGAGCTGTACCGTCTATTGTTGACTTCCGCCCAGCTTTCAGATGTGCAATGTATCCATACTTGTCCTGTTCAGCATTTTCACCCCACTTATCTTTGTGCCAGCCACAAACTTCATCAATAATTATTTTGTTTTCTACTAGTTCACTGGTTTAAAATATTAAGTAGAATAGCAGCAAAAAACGTCTTCTGTGGGCTCGCTTTAAGAAACACACCTGCTTAATAAGGACTTTCAATTTACTGTTGTATATCTTGAGAATCCTCCGTTGAATTCGTCCATTTTTAAAATCTATTTTTTATGTGCCGTATTGATTCCACGTTCTAGTTTTTTCATTAATATGCCATCCTGTAGATGTTCATCTGCTCTTCAATCATTTCACTGCTGAGTGACCTGCCAAAAACGCTGAGTCCCACACAACAAATGCATTTTCTGGATGTTTGTGGAGATTTGCAGTAGCTGGGGTGCAACGTCTTTCAAACTTCTGTAGAAAGGGCAGACCTAAGGGGGGGGGAAATTGCTTTTCCATTTGTGCCCATGAACTGTGTTTAAAGAACATAGACTAAACAATTAACCATGCTAGGGAATGACCTGCAAGCCAGGGACCTCTTAATTCTCTGGTGGCCTAGGTAAAAGCACTTAAGTCCCTGCTCATTTGTTGCAGGGCAGGTGCCCACAGAACTCAAACAAAGCAACAATGTTAGATCACAGCAGGGCACATCCACACGTTCATTACTGTGCCATAATTATGGCGCATTCAGTTTAGTACCTGTAATGACAGGTACAAATTAAATGCACCATAATTGGTGCTACTGCGCATTAGCGCAGGTGAATGTTTTTTTTGATGACATTAATTCTCATTAGACTAAATCTACTGCTCATTAACTCATTAGCATGGGCTTTGCTCACTGCGCTAATGCTCAGTAGCATTAATCTTCTGCACGTTAAGCATCTTGTGTAGACATGCCCATGGAGAAACAGAAGGTAGGGTATTGACTTCAGATGAATGCTCCTACCAGCATCTCTCAACAGTGAAGCTGGAGGTTAAAACATGTTGACTGAGTGATTTTCTTCTATTAGAGAGAGTCCACATCTCTGATAAAGGTGGGGGAGTTTCTACTAGGTGTAAGGGCTGGGTGGTATTTGCAAGAGCATAAAGGAATCGGGGCAGAATATCATGCAGAATGTAAAACCTCTGTGTTTCACTAGCCAAGTGTTGAGAGACCACATTTCCCATCCCAAAAGCTGCTTTTTTTATGTTTTCATTTGACTGTGCATCATAATCAGCTTCCCCTTTGAAAATGAGACAGCTAGGCCTCGGAACAAGTTGTTCCCCAGGGAGAAAAAGCCCGCCGTGGTCATTCATGGAGATGGAAGGCAGAGGTCAGTAAAGCACAGCGTCTCATCTATTCTTCTGCAACCCGCTCTTGAGGATTGCACTTTTCATGCAATTAGCAGCCAAGGTTCCCTTCAATAAAGGCAATGGGCCAAACTCCTCTGCTAACAGAGAATAGATGCTGTTGTTAGTCCCAGCAGTGTTAGTC